CTTTCCAATTTGGCCTGGGGGCAAAAACTGTTGGCCACCCCCTAATCTAGACACGTGTCAGTATGGAATGACAATTGGAAATGAATGAATGTGACAATGTCATTTGTCACATTCAAATTAAAGAAGAGAAGAATAGCTATTAAGAAAACATTATTATTATTTGTTTTTTGTCCTGTTTTACTGTTTAAAGTGATTGTGTTTAAACACAAAGGTGAGCAAATAAACTGAATGATTGAAATGGGTGGTGAAAACTGAAACAAGTGAATGAGTTTGTATATTTGAGATTCACGATAGATAGGAACGGAAGGATAGACAATGAAATTGCCAAAGAGAATGCAGGAGTGCAGATGGTGGGTGCAATGAGTAGATTTGCAAGGGATAAAATGACTTCCAAAGAGGCACAGATGGCTTCATTGTTGTTGTGCCCATGCTCACTTATGGTAGCAAAACTTAGGTATAGAAGAAGAGTTACAGGATTCTCGTTACTGAGATGAGATATTTGAGAAGAATCTGTCATAACAAAGAGAGACTGAAAAATGAACAATCTCTGAAGGATTTTGGAGTGTAAGAGTGGTTCAAAAGAGGGTAAGTTGGCTCTACAATGCTTCGGCCATAACGAGAGTATATATGGGAAAGATGAGTGAGGAGTGTGGTAGGGGAAGGCCAAGAAAGTCTTGGTTGGAATAAGTGGATGGGTATCTGAAAGAACATAAGGTGAGGAAGTAAGCTAGAAGAGGCACGAGTTGTCTGAAGCAAGAGGTATGTCTAGACAGGAAGATATGAAGAAGTTTCCAAATGGATGGTTTGTAGGATTGTATTCTCCTTTTGCCTGTCGCTCACCTGTCTTGGATTATGAGTGCATGTATGTTCGGTACATAACTTAAATCCAGACAAGCAACCTCAGTAATTTTGAATCAGCTTCCCCAAAGTAGTAGGCTGAGGCCCTAATTGCTTTGGCCAACCAAGCTTGGCCACTATTATTTAAGTGTTGCAATAATTGGAAATTCCTGTCCTGTAGTATAAGGCAATTTTCATAGTAACTAATTTATGTAATTAGTCACTGTTACCTTTATTTTTAATATGTGCCTTATTTGTTTACCCTTTGGACCATCACTAACAACTTTTTAATATTTGAGACATTGGGGTACATTTAGAATTAAGTTTCATGTAATTGTTAAAGCATTTATTCAGAGACTAGATTATCTAATAATTTCATTCACATGGCTAAGTATCAAACTTTCTTCATTTTCATAAAAAAAAAATTATTTACTTTTGAAAATATGAAGAGAAGGACAAAAGGACGAATATTTACTATGAAGATTTAAGTGTTTTTTTGTAGGGCAGTAATAAACACAAGGTTGAAACTGCCAAACTTCTCATTTGATCTTAGCACAATTTACAGCATACAGGCAATACTGTTTCAAGAGATGTTTGCATGAGATGTTGATGTCTGACAGGGAAACATCATGCTTTAAATTTTTATGAGGTTTCAAGTTGTTTGTGTGAGACGCGAATTGCCCCTGTGATTAATTAACAATTTAATTAAAAAGTAAAATTTTAAACGAAAAACATTCTCTGATTTTGGTGGGAAAATTATATTTTTCTAAAACAAAGGAAACTGGAAAAAGTCACTTCCTTCAATGGAAGTTGAAACATCCTTTTGTTTTCCCTTATCTACTAAAAATCTTAGTCACCCTGGGAATTGTCAACCCCTCAATAAATCCCCTTTTCCTCTGTTCACGTGGAAAAATTCCAAATGCTGATTTGAGAAAATTCACGAGGAAGAGAAAGAATTTTGCATGATTCGGAGAGTACGCCGAGAGAGCCGAAGAAGGACAGATGTATTCCATATCATCTACTGAAAGCCAACGCCCAAAGTCAAATCCAGAAGTTTCTATAAAATGAATTAGTTCGGTAAATAGAGAAGAAATTATTTAAATATGTGCCATTAAAGAACTAAGAAGGAAGAACAGTCATATTCATCTAAAGAACAGAAGAAGATAAAGATGCATAGAGATAGTATGATTTATGATAGAATTTGTGAGCTCTCTCTCTCTCTCTCTCGTAACAGCTGTATTCGAAGCTCTTGAAATCGCTTTATTCATATATTCAATTTTGTATCATGTTGGTTATTTTTGTTCATTAAATATTTGTTTTTATTTGTTAAAGAAATGTCTCTTCGATATATGAATCAAACACAAGTCTTCATCTCCTCCACGAATCAATACGCGTGTTAATCCACGTACCATAAGTTTGATTAACTGGTGTCATTATCCTGACGTTGGATAGAGACTTCGCCGTCTATATCCTATTTAATATCAACAGCCCTCCTAGAAAGTTTAGAGATCGAATCTCACGATTCTGAGTCGTGTAAGTGGTACTCTTGGTTAGTATCCTCGGCTAATCTCACATTTGCATTTAAAATAGTTCTCAATGAATTTTTCTATACTGCTTAATCATCTATTTCACAAGCTGTTTCCAAACTTTTCACTTGTATACAAAGTATTTCAAGAAGATTATTTGAAAGGATTCATTGTAAGTGTGATTTAAGAATTTTTGCAAGAAGTTCAAAATATCAGTATAATTAAATTAATTAAAATATCTACAAACGCGAGGCAGATATTTTAATTAATTTAATTATACCAAGGGCTAAAAGCAACTTCTGTAATAATTTCGTTTCATCAGTATAATTGCATTTACAATGAATACAAAATCATTTGTTTTAGATGCAAATAATTAAATCAGACTTTGTGAAATGAAATATAGCATAAGAAATAAGCATTAGTCATATTTAAATCATTTTAATTGCCATTGTTATTAATAGAAATTTGATGATCAATAATCATATTTATGTATAGACTATAGACTGTCAAAAATTGAATGATTAACAACAACTGGCTCAAGATCATCTCAACTGGTGTCCACAACAATGGGGTGCTGTGCTCTTCACGGATGAGTCATGGTTTGAACTGCAGACTGTTTCCTGATGCTTATTGTTCTGGAGAATGCCTGGAACTCGCTATCATGCCAGTAACATCTGCAATATGCAGGCAAACAGAGGCAATGGTTTACTGGTTTGAGCAAGGATTACTATCGGTGGTCACGCTTATCTCCACATCTCTCGAAGCAGTGTGACTGCAGTGCATTATAGAGATGACATTCTTGCACTATGTGTTTGCCCGTATCATGCCACTTTTATGGATGATAACGTGTGAGTTCACGAGGTCCGCATTGTCGGCAAATACTTAGACTCGGAAACGACTGCTTCGCATGGAATGGGCGGCGAGATCATCCAACTTGAATCCCATTGAGCATGTATGGGAGACATTTAGTTTCTGTCCTTGACCTTCCCTGGAACCTTTATGAGCTAAAAACATGTCTTCTCCATGAATGGGCCTAGATAATCTTATTCTTGGCATGAATTGATGCTGTAGGGCAGTGATTCCCAACCCGAGGTATGCAATAGGTTGTTTAGGGGTACAGAAAAAAGTTAGTTAATATGGCAAAAAAAAATATATTATGCAGAGCCTACTGTTAATTTAATATTCAAATGCTTTCAGCCTATTTTTAATAGGCCATCCTCAGGAAATTACTGTTCTACAATATTAAATTAATAGTAGGCTCAGCAAGTGTTTTGGTGTTTGATTATATTTGTATTATATTATGTATCACAAATTAATAGTATTAAAAAATTATTAGGTAAAAAATATTCCTTGCAAGAATCACGAACTTTATTATACATTTCAAAATGCAAAAATAGAAATAAAAACTTATGCTGCCGATTGTACAATGCAACATATCAATGAATGTTGCGCAGTCAGTCAATATTAGTGGGGATATCATTATGCGTGATTAGTGATTATGCTACGGACTTTTGATGGTGGGTTGTGTTACCGTTATTATTATTATCATCTCTTGAAAAAAGTATTTTTAATTGTTAGCAAGGAAAAGGACATAGCTAGTTTCTCCAGATTTTCTCTACAAGCGGTAATTTTTTTCATTATTTATTAATTTCATTATTTTTATTAACATTTTATTGATAAGACCGTCTTGTTTTTAAAATCGTATTGCCTGCTGTGTTACCATCTTAGAGGTATGAAGGAATACATGTCAGAAGTTGCAAATTTGACACAGACTATTAAATGCCCAAATCATGCGTGCATAAAAAAAACCAGACTTGTAGATACTCAGGGGACTGAGAACGAGTCAAAATAAAATTCGAAATGGCAACACACTCTACAAACAGGCAGTGCGAGATTTGCGCATGCATTGCTCGTTGGGAAGTTGGAAATGAAGTCATTTGACAAATACAGTCAAAACTCATAGGCGACCAAGAAATACAAGATAAATTTTTTCCCTGATTGAAATGTGTAGAAAACAAGTCAGGCAGAAAATTAGTATCCATGGAACTTTTCCCTTTTACTAAATTATATAGATAGTGATTATGAAATATTCTTTTGATGTAACAAACAGTATAACAGTCTTAAAAATCAAATTGATGGTTAGAAATTATAATTTTCCTGTTTAAAAAAGAAGACAAAATCCTACTAATACAATATGTCCTAGTAGACATTTACATAATAAATGTTACAGCAGTTATTTAATTTGTATATACAGTAGACCCCCCTATAACAGAGATTCCTATAACGTGGCAAAAAATTGCGACAGTATTCGTATAAGGACACTAAAAGGGACTCGTAAAACGTTGTCGCCGACTCGTGTCGTGACAGGATTGGTCAAATCTGGACCAATAGTGGACTTTCCGCCGTACAGCGCCACGCTACGGAGAGTTTAGGCGGGTAAATTGAGTTTACTATCGTCTGTACAGTATGTAAATTAGGTACCATAAGTCTAATATAGCACTGTAATTTTATACATTTCTTGTGAAAGAAACATTTCTTATTCAACGGTGATTAAAATTATTTCTATTAATGATGTCTCCAAAGTTCAACAAATTTTTTGCAGAAAAATAACTTACCAGAAATCGCTGCCACCGTTTGGTGCGCTGCTCCATGACGAAAACAAGCTTGAGCAATGGCGATGTCGAATGGTGCACACTCGGTAAGTAATCCTACAATTTTTTGTTTATAGCATAGTTTATACGGATTATTCCCAAAAAATTATACGTGTTTTGGAAATGTTGAGTCGAATTAGTCTAGAATCGATTAATTTTATGGAAGAAAACCTTTCAAACAGCCATAGTCCGTAAACTTCACACGTGTCGGGCTGTGATTGGCTCATGTATTTAAGGATTCCTACAACGTGAAATTCTTATAGCGTGAAACGTATCTATGCGTTATAGGGGGGTCTACTGTACATTTACAATTTAAATAGTTATTGTTATTATTATCAAGTATATTTGTTAGTCCAATTAAAATCTGGTGGTATTATTTTACGATTATTATATGTTGGGCATGGTTTTTATATGTAATTATAATTCTAGAAACTTGATTGAACATAACAAACATGTTCATATAAGTATAATTTTATATTTATACTGTTTTTGGTGTAGGAATGAAGTTCTGTACTGCAAAATATTTTGACAAAACTGGAGAAGTAACCAAATGAAAGAAGCAGTACACCTCCAGCAATACATTTAATCAACCAAAAGTGTTTTACCTTCTTCAATCAGCACATCAAACTTAAATGAAAAAGAACAAAGGAACATTTGAAAAATATATTAAATGAAATGGTAAATTAAAATGGCATATTAAATGCAAATTTAAAATAAAAAGAATATACAGATGTTCTATTTAGAACATTCTTTTCGATGTTTGATAATCCAACTGAACAAGGCCTGTGGAAATAGGTCAAGAACGTTATTAGTTGATTAAATATACAGTCGACCCCCCTATAACGACAATTCCTATAACATAGCGAAAAAATTGTAGCAACATTCGTATAAAGTACCTCCTATAACGTCGTTTCGCGACAAGATTGATAGAATCTGGACCAATAGTGGATGAGCAGCCGAACTACTTTCCTCCGACCCTGCGCCATGCTACGGAGCGGCTAAATTGAGTTTGCTATCGTCTGTACAGTATTATATATAAATTACGTACTATACACAGTGCCATAACTAGCCATTTCTGTGCCCTGTGCAAGAACTTGCATTTAGGCCTCTTAATTAATTAGGTTTGGGAAAATAATAAAACAAACATGTGCATTTTGGGACACTCTTCCAAATGGGCCCTGTGCGGGTGCACCTGTTGCACCTGCCTAGTTACGGCACTGACTATACATATAATTATATATTAATTATATATAAATTAGGTACTGTATATATAATTATATATTAACTTAATTTATTGTAACTTTATTATAATTATATATATACTTTCTGCCGCCTGGCAACACGCTACGGAGATTTTAGGCTAGTAAGTTGAGTTTATTATCGTCTGTACAGTATGTAAATTAGGTACCGTAAGTCTAATACAGCACTAATTTTATACATTTCTTGTGAAAGAAACACTTCTTATTCAACGGCCATAAAAATTATTTATATTAATGATGTCTCCAAAGTTCAACAAATTTTTTGCAGAAAAATAACTTACCAGAAATCGCGGCCACCGTTTCGTGTGCTGTTCCGCGACGAAGACAAGCTTTGAGCAACGGCATAGTCGAACGGTACACATTCAGTAAGTAATCCTATAATTTTTTGTTTATAGCATAGTTTATACNGCATTTTATTACTATCCTAAATATTTTTTATGAAAGATGGATTCAAGAATAGATCAAGAGAAAATTTTGCAGTTTTTGAATGAATTGGACAATGAAACAATTGAAGAGCAGGATGAAATACAAACAAGAAGATAACTGTGAAGAAGAAATTCATATCCTAACTGATGAAAGTAAGCAAGAATCTGCGTTATCTTCGGATGAGGAACTGAATATTGCTTGCCAAAACTTTAATCGAAGATTTATTATTGACTCTGATGACGATGCTTTGCAGCTACCTGTGCATCAGTAACCACATTCACAACACAATCCATCGCTTGTAATCCATCCCATAAAAATTTCATATATAGTAAGAATAAACACAAATGGTCCACAAATCCACACAGTTCTTGCACTCATACAGCTGCTCGTAATATTATTAACTTTATACCTGTTCCTGTCAATCAAGTTAGAGATATATCAAACCTGCAAGATTTTTTTGTTTCTGAGGAAATGATCAACGACATGGTTTGCTACACCAATGCAGAAATTGATATAAATAGAAGTAAGTACAAAATGGACACCAAGACCATTTCTCATATCTCGACCTATGAAATAAAGGCATTACTGGGTCTCCTTATTCAATCAGCAGAAATGAAAAGCAATCATTTGCCTACAAGAACTTTATTTGACAACAAAAAAAAGTGGTTGCATTTTCAACACTTGTACAGTAGTATCTCAGGATATGAATGTTTCAGTATATGAGATTCGAGCATATTTTTGCTCCACAGTATGAACAAAAACTCACCATACAACGTTACATTAGTTTGCAGTGCCACAGCCATGATCACGTGTTCCTTCTGTTCATCAGTCTCAGTCCGTGTGTTTGCTTCGTCGTGGAAGGATCTTGCTCGATAATAGAAAATCTCGCGGTATTATCAGAAAGTGACCAATTTTATTGAAAAGAAACATTCCAAAAAGGTTCACACTGGCTGTATTGCTGCTCAGTTTAATGACATTTACCTAAGTCATTTTAGAAACGTTTTAAAAAGTAGACAAAGCCAAACCTCTTTGGATAGATATTTTTACCAAGTGATCTCTATCCAGTAAAGGAATGAAAGCAAAAAGCCGTGAATAAAAAGTTTAAAAAAATATATAAAACTAAAAAATTAGTGTTATCTTTTCTAAGTTATTGTTACATTATGTTATGTAAGTTAAGTTTTAGTATCATTTCCCTTCTCCCTCTCCTCTGCTGACGTCTATCCTCAAAGGTAAAGTGCAAATAAAACTACAGTAGAGCATCGATTATTCGACCCCCGATTAACCGTCACATCGGTTAACCGACCGTTCTAGTCGGCAAATTTCAAATGTCCACTAGTGATGTGGCGCTACAATATTTGGCTATGTCTTGGCTACTTTAATATTATTTTTGTTAAATTTTTGCATGTTTTAGCTGGCAACATGGGCTCGACCATAGAAGGGAGACCAGTACTTAAACAAGACTTAATTTTCTAATTATGAGTGGTTGGTTGTTTTGTGAGCAATANTTTCAAATGTCCACTAGTGATGTGGCGCTACAATATTTGGCTATGTCTTGGCTACTTTAATATTATTTTTGTTAAATTTTTGCATGTTTTAGCTGGCAACATGGGCTCGACCATAGAAGGGAGACCAGTACTTAAACAAGACTTAATTTTCTAATTATGAGTGGTTGGTTGTTTTGTGAGCAATAAAAGAATTTAAAAATAATTTTTAACGGTACAATAGCGACGATTATTATTTTTTAAAAAAATTTGTTAGGCTTAACATCGATGAAAATTCAACGCGAAGTTGGTTAATAGCGATATACTAATATACTATACTAATAATGTATTTTTTTCATTCTTTTCAGTTATCCGACCAACCTGAGTCCCCAATTGAGTCGGATAATCAATGCTCTACTGTACATTTTTTTTTATCAATTATTATTCTATTATGGTTATTTATACATTTACAACTAGAAAATGCATTTTTAAGTGTTTTCCTTACTATAGTTATTATTTTTTTTAATGTACTACTTAGCTTTAATTTGAGAGTTTTACATGTAATCATTTGGGAAAAAATGATTTATCTTACAGCATTTTCATCATACGATCTCAGTTTAGGAAAGGATTAATTTTGTATCCTGAGGTACTACTGTATGAGTGCTGAGAGATTTAATTTTTTGATGTTGCTGATTTGATGACAAGAGTACCAGACAAATCAGAAGAGCTACAGACAAGTTTGCACCATTCAGAGAATTTTGGGAAAAATTTATACTTTATTGCAAGAAGTGGTACAATCCGAGTCCAAATGTCACAACTGATGAACAGCTTGTTGGGTTTCGAGGATGCTGTCCGTTTTGTATGTATTTACCGAACTAGCCCAATAAATACGGGATCAAGATTGTGATGCTAGCTGTTTCAGATTCAAAGTATATTTATAATGCCATGCCTTATTTGGATAAAGGTATGAACCCAGCAAATGTACCATTAGCTACCTACTTCGTAAAGCAGCTTTGTGAACCATTAAAAGGTTCAAATCGCAATATAACTATGGATAACTGGTTCACGTCAATTCCTCTTGCCTCTGAATTGCTGCAGCCTTTTTACAATTTTACAATTGTTGGTACATTGCCTAGTAACAAACAAGAAATTCCAAAGAACTGAAAAATTCAAGGACAAGAAAAGTAGGTACTGTACTTCAATGTTCTGCTATGACAATCAGAAGACTTTGGTGTCATATAAATCCAAATCATATAAAGATGTATACCTTCTTTCTACCACTCATGATCAGCCAGACATCAATCTTACAACAAACAAGCCTGAGATAATCCATTATTACAACAGCACCAAAGGAGCAGTGGATACTGTGGATCAATTATGTTCAGGGACAAGTACTGCCCGTAAGACTTGTAGATGGCCACTTATTCTATGATGTTCTGAACCTAAGCTTAATAAATGCATGTTATTTGTGTGTCAAATAAAGTACAACAGCGCAGAAACCCCTCACACGAAGAGACTTTGCATTAACATTGGCTGACAGCCTCGTAAAGCCATGGTTGAAAGAACGTTACAATACGGTAACTTTAAGACGTTCCATCAAAATAAATATTGAACATATTTTAAATATGAAATGCCCACAGAAGATACGACTAAAAGTGCGGCAAACAGACACAGAATTTGTGCTTTCTGTCCATCTAAGAAATGCAAAATGACAAAGTACATATGCAACTACTGCAACAAGGCTACTTATGGTGGAGATCACATTAACATCTGCCAAGAGTGAAAATGCTAATTTTTACAACCTTTCTATTTTTTAATACTTCTCTTAAGATACACTAATTTGTTTGAAATAAATAAAGGAAATATAAAAACATACTTGTTTTTAATTTGTAGTCTATGAGTCGCATGATTAGTTACAGAGTAACACTGATTTAAGTTTAGTTATCTAGGGTTATTTAACAACTATTCTGTTGATGGGATCCAGAACCTCCCAGATGTTTGGCAGGAGATTACGTTGAAGGTTTATAGCTGTCAAAGTTTTTAAAATTCATGTGTATTGCCACTACTATTGCTACAATTCTTAAAAAATTGTTAATTTTTACTAATAATTTCATTGTGATTTCTTTCATATACAATGAATGTTCATAACTTTTTCAGCTTAAAGTAATGAGAATAATGCCAAAAAGTAACAAAAAAAATTAAATACAGTACCAAAATTATTATTCATAAATTGTACATAATGTAGTGATCTGCTAGCAGGACAGTTTGGTCTGGACCCAAACTTCGTGATTTATTATATGAAAATTGGGGGGAAAAAGTATAAACAATCTTTTTAATCTATATTTTTGTCGCCAAAGCCAAGCACAAATCTGCAAACTGGCTTTGATCTCTCAGCTTTTGGTTAGGAATGTTTCCCAGTTAAGGCTTATTACTGATTCACAGGCATGGATATATGTGCTAGTTGGGTTTTAATAGAAATTGCATTTCTAAAAAGAACAAAGAATAATGTAGCAACACTATCACTAACAATGGCTACAGCAAATCTTTTTCTATAAACTTTAAACTCAAATTTATGTAGTGCTTATATTTATTAATGTTAGAAAACAAAAGTTTATATAACACTCACTTATTTAAATATTTTGCTTTCATATCATCAGTTAAAGGAAATTGAATTATCATCATCAATTTTCATTTCTTCACACAGTGGCTGGAAATAAAAATTATAATTTAACTGATTTATCTAATAATTATAAATTGTTGTATGTATAATTCATACTTTTATTACTTTTATATTATGTTTAAGAGATTATTATTATTATATTACAAACATGCTAAATCTTTAAAACTGTAAAAATTGAATTAAAATGTATTATTTCTAACACAGTAATTTATTTTAAAAAATTTTAAATTTTTGAAATTCTATAATATTGCATGTAAACGTAATTTGTATTTTTAGCCAACAGAAATGTACTGTACTGTACATTGGCAAAGAAATGTATAAAAGATAAGGTGCTGAATAAAGTGGATGTGTCGAGTGTGGGTTCTTAAATCACCATTTTATCATGAAATAAAACACACATTTCAACGAAAGAAAGTTTACCGAATTTTCTAATTAGTTTTTGAATTTATTCAACGTAAATCAAACATTGAATAATCCAACTTACTAACAACTTTTGAAATGTTTTTTATCTATAATTTATAAGTTTTGTAAAAAAGAAAATGAAAAGATTCCATAAGTTTTTTTTATAATTGATAACTAAGGGAGCATTCACTTATGATATATATTGTTTAGAACTTTTTCCTTCTTACAAAGGGAGGCTTAGAAACATGTTTTATGGATTTGGATCAGCTTTCGCATAGTCATCCTGGGACACTAAAAAATACCTCCTGTAAAGACAAAAAGCCCCGGTTCTACTTCTGCATTTTATTTGAGAAAATCATTATTTTAGGGCATGACGACAGATAGCTTTAGACCCGAGAAGTCGGTAAATATTGAAAAAATAATATCCCATATATGAAAATTACTTGTCTGAGAATTAATAGTTTTTGAGAAAATTAAAATTTGAAGTATTTCAAATTTCGGTTGAAATAAAAGTATTTTTATTGCTGCTTAATCCTTCACTGTTTTCTGGCAAAATTTAATACTTACTGACAGATTGTAGTTGTCTTGAAAGTATGTGAAACATATTGTATTTCTACACTATAAACACTAAATAAATGTAAGAGTCATACTGCAACTATACTTACTGTTTGTGCTACCATTCTCTTTTTAATTGTGAGGCATACTAGGTATATGACAGCATGTCTTTAAAGAGAGAGATCTATTTTTAATGGTAAGTGTATCAGTGCATGATTTTTATAGTGCTAGCTTGATTATGGAGTTCTATTTTCTTGGTGTCAAATTGTTTGAGTTTCAGTATGAAACTTTCACCTACCTAAAGAAGTAAATATTACATGGTTAACATAGTGACATATAGTACTACACTTGGGAGGAGATGCACTTCAAGTAGGCCCATAATTTATGTCTACAAAAATTGAGTCATACCTACTCATATTTGTCATCCACCCCATAAATTGAGTACAAGGCAAAACTTATCATCTTTCACAAACTTCATTATCTAAATTTAACTGGTACTTTTCACACATTAATTCCCTGATTTTGAGCACATTCAGACATTTTTGTATTCATCGGTATATCTAGAACTGAAATTGTTGTTTGGTTCTTGCAAGAAAATGAAAACTTTTGGCAATAATTTTCTGTATAGCGTCAAGAAATACTGTGCCATATACAAATGAGTAACTTTACTGATGTTTCCAACAGCTATTAAAGTTTTTTCTACCTTGATGCAATAGAGTATGTTTGATGTTTATAATACAGTAGAACCTCGATTATCCGGACTAATTGGGGATGAAGGTAGTCCGGATAAGGAAAAATCCGGATAATCGAAACAAATACTTTAATTTGTCTTTTAATGATAATACAACANCGATTATCCGGACTAATTGGGGATGAAGGTAGTCCGGATAAGGAAAAATCCGGATAATCGAAACAAATACTTTAATTTGTCTTTTAATGATAATACAACACGTTTTCTTTTCGATGACATATTAAAAATAAATACTGTATTTAAATCGTGATCAAATTTTCAAGGAAAAAACGTTCATATTGAATTTGGTCTACTACTGACCGGCGCTAACAGACTAGCTATTGTTTAAAAGGCCCTCTGGTGGCTCAAGAAGACAGATTTTATAAAATAAAAAGCAGTTGAAATTTGACAAACTAGTTATCGTTTTATGACGAGTAAAATTTTTTTGTCACGTTCTCGGCTTTTAAGTAATGCATAAACCTTCGAGGTGCGAGGCCCTTCGGACCGCAAGGCATGAGCGGTGGCCCATGTTGCCCATGCCTTACGCCGCCCTTGGTCATATAAATAATTTATATTAAAATTACATCATTTCTAAATATGTATGTCAAGTTATATTTTTATTACGACGCAAAATATATTTAAGAGTTTACGACCACTGTGCCGGGCGAGACGTTGTTGAAACAAAAAATGTTATGCATTCCATCACGTACATAAACAGTGTCGTAATTCGCCAAGTGCAAATCAGCAAATTCGTAAAATTTTTGTTTATTTTGAACAATCCGGATAATCGAAAATCCGGATAATAGAGGTTCTACTGTATTTGCATTCTGTTTGGTCTGTATGTGACTGTGGCATATTCCAGATGAAATTAGCAATTAGTTGGGATGTCAATTGCTGGAATATTTCTTAAAACAACCCTAATTCACTGTAGGAAACATCTTGTTCAAGTCTTGCATCATAGCATGACAGTGGATGTGATTTGGCGCACATACATTTCTAACGACAACATAATTTCTTGTATGGATTCAAACTTTCTTATTGTAAGTATACGGATGAAGTAAACTTATCAAAGCATTGCAGTTAAGAACTCAGCAAATGTTAACTAACACCTACACATCATCTAATTGTGGATAATATCTAAAACTAAGGGACAAGTTTATAGTTTACACACAACTTCTGTAGAAACTACAAAAAATCCATAGCAGTTGGATTTTTTGCCATCTCTGCTAATATACACTGGACGACAAAAAAAATAACGCACCATGAAGGACTTGTTGGATTTGAATAAAAATTGGTATATGACATCGTCATTGCTAGACAGATATATGATTGCAACCATAAAACAAAAACATACTTTATTGTGCAGTAATATGCAATACAGTGCAGGAANTACAAAAAATCCATAGCAGTTGGATTTTTTGCCATCTCTGCTAATATATTAAAATTTTAATATTGCTGATAACTTGTATCAACATTAACATTAGTTTGTATTAGTCAGAGATGAACAACTTGTCATTC